AGATGAGGAATGAAAAAGGCAGCAGTTCCCTCTATGTTGTTCCGGCACAGTATGAGCATGACATTTTAAAACCAGCCCATTTACAATTCTACAGTGCATAAGAACAAGTTAACATCCCCCCTTTGGGAATGGCCTAAAGACACTTCAGTCAGCATCACCGCCCTGGGGGGGGGGGGGGCCTAGAAACTTGGTTGCCCATTTAAAGATGAATTAGAAGAAGAAGAAGATTAATGCACCTACAGGCCTATTACTGCACGATAGAATGAATGCGATACGGTACATCAAGTCAATGATAGTTGGGTCCACCTAACATGTTGCAATGCAGTTTTATCTGTCTGAGGACATACAAAGGAAATTGGAAATGAGCAGGCTGGAAAAAGGGTTATTGTGAAGTTGTGTAAGCCTTCAAGGGATACATGGCCATACATCAATAAGCACATTAAGTTGATTTCATTTAGATCTTAACTGTAACACTTTCACCAACACTGGCCATATTATACAAAGTATATTATGTGTCACGACGCAGACAAATTTTGGTAACTCCAATAGCTAGAGAGTCTTTGAAAACTGAAAAATGACATAGTTTGCGCTTTTATTGAATGTTTTTCAGTAAAATTCATATGGAACTATATTTTTGTATAGACATAAAAGAGGTAAAGCCTAAAAATAAAAATTTGATGAAAATGTCCAATTATTTTGAAGAGCGCTGATTTCACCACGCTGCCTCACATAGTATATACGTTGATCAGGGTCAATATGGCATTATCCTGAAAAAATTTCTCAGTGTGGAATTTTAAAATAAAATTAATGTTCTTCATACTAAGTGTCATTTGGAAAACATTTAAAAATCACAACTCTTTGTTGCATTCTGTCTGTTCATCTATTTGTTCATGGGTCTGTCTGTTTTTCTCTGCACTTAGGCTTATCAGTCCGTCTATCTGTTTGTTTGTCTGTCTGTCTGTCGACCTCTCTTTCTGTCAGTTTCTCTTTGCACTTAGGCTTGTCTGTCTGTCTGTCCGTCTGTGCCCGCTCCCTGTCCCTTTCTTCCCACCCCCTCTCTCTCTCTCCTCTCTCATTCTCTCTCGCTCTCATTCTCTCTCTCTCTCTCTCTCTCTCTCTCTCTCTCTCTCTCTTTCTCTATTTGTGTTGAAAGCTTAAATCCAACCAAACCAACATATCTCTCCTTCTCAGGAAAATTGTAGCAAAGCGACATAAGACGAGTGACAAATTTCTCTGTCATTATGGTGTTCATTAATTACAGTATATGCCTCAGTATGATAATCCGCTTTCAAAAAAACCCAGCTGAAATGACCCAAGAATCATTTCAAATAAAAATCATAAAATTTAATATCATGAACGGGACATAAATCTTCAGTATGGAAGGAGAACTGCACACTACCTGGTAGGAAGATCTGGTTTCGTCTAATACATACCTACATACTGGCATTTCTCAATGCCGTTCACAATTATGATGCTTGTTTACCTCAACCCTCATAGAAAAAAAAGGTTGGAATTTAAATGCAAGGTTTTAAATGACAAAGCCAAAAAAATGTCAAAACCAGGTACTTGTACTGACAGGCTGATTGTCAGGATTTTCTGCCTCTGTTTGTGAGACATGCTGACAAAATGAGTTACTTCTCGCAATCCTCAAGTGGAAATATTTGCCAAAAATCAACACTAGGGTCAAATTTGTAGATTTTCTATTGATGCCATATTTAAGTATAACATGCCTTTTGGTATTTCATACTATAAATAAATTATAAAAACTTCACCTATAACTATAAGCGTGATGCATGATCTATTTCCATAGGCCTACAATCCGAGAAGTAACTCATTTTGTCAACACGCCTCGCATATTACTTATAGAAAGCTGACCTTCTCTTTTGTTTAGTTTTAGTAGAGGTTTTACGGGGCTCGCAACTGCACATGGTCATATGAGCGCCAAGGGGTGGGTGTCAACAGAGAAGTCCTTACAGGGAATCAGACTTACTCTGCACACCTCTCTAGCCTCAACAGCACAAGGTCTGCTTCGACTATCAAGGAACCCCGGAAATAGCGGGTCACAAGAGAGTGACAAACATACAAAAGATATAGTGGAAAAATTATGATAGTAAGGATTAGGAAAGAAAAAGCAGCAGTTCACTGTTGCAGGTCTGGCATACTTAAGAGAATGACATTCCTGAATCAGCCCATTTACAATTACAATTCTACTGTGCATAAGAACTCGAGATGTTAATGTCCCCCCGTTTGGGAACAGCCTAAAGACACTTCAGTCAGTAGCACCGCTCCGGGGGGTTTGACCTTCTCTGACCCTAACAAACAGTACAGATAGATTAACTGTTCAGTGTTGTATGCCTCCATATCATTTAGGAGCTGGGCTGCTTCTACTATGACTGTTTGGGCTAATCAGAGTTAATTAAGTGGAATACAGTATCAAAACAGTGATACCCAATTTTTAAAAATCTCCCCCCCCCCCCCCCCCCACCATCTGGGAAGGAAACTCACGTCTTCCATGTGTAACAACCAACAGCTAAAACGTTAGATCACAGACGTTGGTACGTACATGGTCAAGTACTCTTCACAAAAATATTCCATTTTGATTAAATTTTAAACGCATGGCTTTTCATCAATACAACAGCAGAAAAATGTTTGTATCAGGAATATGGTATACATTACAATCATCTACTATAAAAAAAAGTCATTACTGGCAACTTAAACATCAACAAATTTCATATTTTGTCATGGTGAAATACATGATAACAAAATATTATGTACACATGAAACCTATTCCCAGCTGGCAGAGTAACCCGTATTTATAACAGTCAACATCAGGGTTTTAAAAAGAAAAAGTAACAGTGTATTAACTTCATTAACTCCTTATCTCCAGCAAGTCAATCCCAGCGGCTCAGGATGTAACTGATGTGCCGGTGAGCCGCTGGCAGCAGCTAAGAAAAAAATTCCTTGGTGTCAGATTCAGGCGTCAAAATATTTTTCCGCAATTGCTGAAAACAGGACTCTTTCACGGGGAGTTTTTTTCATCAGATGTAGAACTATCAAAATAGTTTCAATTGCTTTGATTTCTTAACCAATTGAGTGACGTATATGTCACACTGAGATTTGGTACCAAAAAGGGTAAGTATTAGTTTACTCCCTCCGGAGATAAAGAGTTAAGCATTGTGAATGGAACATACGTGTCAGTAAAACACACATTAACATCTTTCCTGAGGTAGTGTAGGGTCTCTCAAAATGTCTCATCATACAAGGTTATCCTGGGCAGGCTGAGGTTATACACATAGTCTGATGTCTCAATAACAGAAGCAGAGCAATTCCCCCAGTTGGTGAAGTGCCACTCACTCAACACAGTCTCTCCCACATTCTGACCGTGGCTAAAGAGGGAAGCCATTTTTCTCCGATCCTTCCTAAGTGTAGTTGGAGTACAGCATAGCTTACTAGCTTCAAATCAGAGCTGCATACATTTGATTTTATTCCTTTCCATTTAGGCACACAATATTCAAAGAAGTGCCGGAAAAAAGACCGGGATGTTTTGGGTTGAAATGAACCACCTTCACCATTTTCTTTGTAAAAGTACATCTAATAGTTCGTCTGTCAAAGTCTGATGATGATCAATGCATCTTCAGGGAATATTTCTAAGTAAAAGAAATAAGAATTGAGAAGTCTTGCAGTTTCTGCTGTGGCTAGTGAGACCAATTCTGGCAGAGAAAAACAGATGTCAGCTATGATATGATATGTGACGCATGCTGACAAAATGAGTCACTTCTCGCAATCCACAAATGGAGATATTGGCCAAAAATCGACATTACGGTCAAACTTGTAGATTTTCAATTGATGCCATATTCTTTTACTATAACATGTCTTTTATTGTTTCATACTTATAAACTGTAAAAACTTCACCTATAAGCGTGATTTATCTATTTTGTTAAGGCTTGAATCAGAGAAGTAACTCATTTTGTCAGCACACTTCACATATTGTATGACATCTTTAACAGGAAATGTCAAGGCCAGTACGAGTTGTGTGTGGTACTGTGACCTTGCATAGAGACAAAGATACTCTGCAAATGTCAGGCAGCGTGGTGGAATCAGGCTCTCGTCAATTTTTTTGGAATGTAGAGTTATTGGTATTATCTTAAAGCTTGTTCACCTGTCTTTATTTGGATGAAAAAAGTATCCATTTATACAAGTCGAGATATTTATGAAAGTGGGAGGTGGGGGTCACCTGTTTTCAGAGGCAAAATTAGTGAGAAAATGGCCACCAAAGGATAGTTATTTCCTTAGATTAAGAGTCTGGGGTAAATGAAAATTTACATTTTCTGTGTCTTTAATCAACGTTTTTCAGAAAAATCTACGCAGAAATGAGTTCTTTAAAGGGCATGGAAGGTGTTGTGCCAAAAAATAAAAATTAAATAAAAATTATCAAACCTGCGAAAAAAACCAAGTTTCTTCATTTTGATTATCTTGACGAGAGCCTGATTCCACCACGCTGCCTCACAAATATTTTTTTAAAACCACTGTGACGTGGTTGACTTCGAGTCATGAACATAGCTGCGGTAATAACACACTAAAGAGTAATCTGAACTCAAAAACTATTGAGACGGTGTCAAAAGTAGGTAGATGAAACCAAAGGTTGATCAAAGAATATATGCGACATGGGTACGCAGTGAATTAAACCTTTCAAAAACTTCACATCTGTTCATTTGCAAAGTACACCTTTAAAATGTGAATGTTACTCTGATCAGACCTTTCTCCCCTCTACTTCCTCTCTACAAGAAAAAAAACAAAAACAAAAAAACTGTAAAAAACCCAATGCATGTCCCCATTTGGAAGTTTGCATACAGACAAAAAGGCACAGCACTTCAAGGCCGTCTCAAACCAAGATGTCACAGACTGCTGCACACAGACAAGTCGTTACCTCAGAATTACACAATTCAAAGTCACATTTTTGGCCGTTCTGAGTTACTTGGACCATGAGGTCAGAAAGCAAATTGTCCATCTGCTCTATCAAAATCATAAGATTATCCGGAGTCGTTTTCAAGATATTAAAAGAACTGCATTACAAAAAGCTCGACACATATTGTGAAGCTTGAAATACTTTTTAGCTTTAGTAAGGTTTTACGGCGCTCACAACAGCATACTAAGGTCATACGAGTACCACTCAAAATATTGTACGTCAAATTTCTCAAAACTAGGTACTGAGAAGATAGAACTTTGTAATTTTGAGGTAACGAAGTGTTGGTGTCTTGAACAGAAAAACTTTCCATGCTCCAGCACAACTTGGCTAGAACAAAGAGTCTTGAGACGAAATTCTGTGCGTGACAGGAAAAGGCAGCTGAGGCTAAAGTTGAACATAATTTGCTCACAGAACTTGTCCATATAGGTCTTTTTTTCTGCTTGATGCGTGAATGATAATGAATCCAACACATTACGATGATCATCAAACGGCGTCTTCTTTGCTGCTTGTACTTTCCAGCAGAGTGACCAAAGACGATTGAGAACCAGCCTTCTTCTTGCTTTTGCCTTTGCCTTTCTTCCCCGATGACGGCTTGCGAGATCGCACTGGGCTGGCCTCGATTGGAGG